AATCCAACACACCCTTTAGCCTTGCAGGCAACTTTGTCTTGATGTGCCAAATGCAATACCTATGGATTGTGTCTGGCAGCACCTCTCTAATTGCTGCCTTGATACTCTCACATTGGTCTGTGAGGATAGCCGTTGGAGGTGCATTACCCATTGCCGCCAACCACGTTGAAAACACAAATTTGTATGTTTCGATATCCTCACTTGTGATCAAAGCGTAGCCCAAAAGAATGGTCTGTTTGTGCTGATTCACACTAATGAATGATGCAAATGGCATGCGCCATTAATTCACAAGGTAGGTGGTATTGAAACAAACAACTCACGAAACTCCCGATATGCATACTTGCAATGTGTGTGAACCCACACTACATTGCGAAGTCTTGCACTATTATTTGTGTTGATTAGATAAAAAAATTCATCGTCCTTCATTTGCGTATCAGAAAAGAACTTTTGTATTGCTGCAGCATCACTGGACAATGTCCTCATCTTCCGTTGTTGAAGAATGTAATTTCGATAGTCTTTGAGAGTGTACCCCACTCTATGAGGACCACCGTCATCAACTTCCAACAATCTTATGCTTTTTGAAGGTCTTATTCTTGCGATGTCATGAGCTTCGAGACTTGTGGCAACTAAAAAAATGTGACATAGAAGCTTCCAATTGATGATTGTGCTCAGACACAATTGTTGTAACCCGACATGAACCATCAGGCATCACAAAGGAATTAATTTTGGCTTTGCAATCAACCCTTTTACTTGAATTCCTAGGGGTTGATTTTCTACTCTTAGCACAAGCAAATGATAGATACCTAGCGTATTCACCACTATTTTTGTGTGAACTCTTTTTAACAACACCAAAATTAGTCAGACGACTATGTTCTTCATAAAATGTGAAAAGAGATTCAACACTGCCAAATACCATAACTACAACGAGGCCTTCAATATATTGTTGGTCTGAAAAATTATCATCATGCATTGCATCTTCATCTTCAATCCACTCATCCTCAAATTCATATTCCTTTCCTACTGAAACACTTAGAGATTCGTCTTGCTCCGGTTGATTCATCTCTTGATGAAGCAAGTTTGGAAGATCTTCGTCCTCATTGTTAAAATATGCGTCAGGGCCATCGCCATAGCCACAATTTGAATGTTCATCATGTTCATTTTGGACAACAAACTATCATCGTCACTTAACCCCAAATATTATTCAATATTTGAGTTAATTGACTATAATCATTATTGGGATCATTTAAATATAATTATACAACTTCTATTTATAAATGGACGAACAAATGGATCAAAGACTTGAAATCAGAATAAAAGATAAAATAGGTAAAGGAGGCTAAAATCAGAATGAGAGATAAAATGGGTAAAGGAGAAAGTAAAGATATTTGAAGAAAATAAAAATAAAACTTAAACTTAAACTATTGGGATGAGACACTAGTACCCCCTAGACTATGACCGAAATCCAGAGACACCTTAACTAAAGTAAGGTCCTATTACCCTCCTGAACTTATTTTTTTTGTAATTTTGAACACCTTTTTGGCCTACGTGGCCTCCAAATATTTCCCACGCGCCTCACTTAAGTGGAGTCACGGAGTGTGTCATGTAAGCCAAAAAGTGTACAAATTACACAAAAAATGAGTGTCTCTGGGATTTCGGTCGTAGTCTAGGGGGTACTTGTGCCTTATCCCTAAAATATTTTGCGAAATACAAAATAATCATAATTTATATAATTTAGGATAAAATAGTTAAGTTCAAGAAATAAGTTACCTCATATGAGTTCAATTTAGAGAAGCAAATGAAATTAATTTTACATATGCTAAAGCTCAACTTGGATCCTAAGAGACTATAATCTCAAAACATTCGGTAAAATAGAAATTAGAAGAGTTTTCATTCATGCATTTGTTTGATTTTTTTAAAAATAAAAATTCTAATATACAAATTAAGAAAAATATTCTCATTTAACTTCTCGATACCTTTTTCTACCTTAATATTGTAGAAGTCTATAGAAAGTGTCAAATTGATAATACACACAAAAAAAAGGAGTAAGAGCAGTAAATTTTTTGAAATATTCATAAATTTATGGTTGGGCCCGGGCTTAGAATGTGCCAAATGGCAATAGAATGGAAAATATTCTTTGAATCTTGTGATCTTAAATGTCATGTCATTCCCGTAATATTCATTCATTGAATTTGGGCCAGATTAATAAGCTTACGACCACTGAACAAACTTAGTTGACGAACATAGTTTATGCGCCGCTAATGTAGCGGCTTGTTGAGCATTTGACAAACTCATACCATCCATTTCAAATAGGATTTGAGTAACTCTTGGGTAAACTATTAAACTAATAAGAGTTGTATAGTCTAACTTCATTCAAAAATGAAACTGGAATTTTTATAGAATCAAATTCGAAAATCATTTCTATTTTGATCATTTCTTAGATTCTGTTGAATCGTATCGAATTCAGGCCAAAGATTTATCATTTCTATGGGATTAAATCCCGAGTTATTGCAAAGTAAAAAACCGATGAGATTATGGAAGTAAATATGCTTGCATTTATTGCTATTGGTTTCGGGTACTAGAGGCAAACCCACATGGTAATGTGGGGGTGCACGTGCACCCATTAACTTTGGGGAAAATCATGTATATATATGTATATCTATTAATAGTGCCCCCATAAAAAGTATGAAATGGTGCTTTGTACCAGTGGTACAAGCTAATAGATCCACCCAGATGACCAGGGTTCAATCCCAAATAAAACCTTTTTTTAAAGTCTTTTTTAGCTTAATATTGGTGCACCCGGTTTTTTCAAATCCTAGGTTAGCCTCTAGGTACAGGTACCATCTTGCTTAACGTCGTTCGAGCATTTCCTGGGAGCACGACATGGGCTACTTCAGCGCCGTAACGAGGAGTGTCATTAGGGGTAAAATATGTCATGCTTTCTCAGTCGAGGTCGAGCTCATCGCAAGGGGCTTGCCTAGTGCAATTTACCTCTCTTGTGTGGTTTGCGGGCCATCATAGTGGAGTAGATTTACTCTGTGTGCAATTGAGGGTAGCGGTTGGTGTTCCCTTGTCATAAAAAAATGGAAATATTGGAAAAAACTGTTGGTGTTTTTTAAAAATGGGACAGCAAAAAGAATTGACTGAAATATCTCTCTATTTTTATTAAGCATAATAAGGCTATTTTTTACTGAAATATCTCTCTATTTTTATTAAGCATAATAAGGCTTTAAATAGCCAACTTGTTAACATAATGCTGAAAATCTGTATTACAAAAATTCAAAAAAAGCTAAATAATCTCAACAATTAAAACTACTTAAAAAAAAATTTAAAAATTCAAATTCATCCTAAAGCTAGGTAACTTATTATGTTAAAAAATGACTGCAATAACTAAAAGCAAACTCAACAAAAACTTGCTTAATATAGATAGAACATTATTCTCCTACTTAGAATCGAATTCATACCCGGCAATCTCGATCTACCCAACGTTTCTTTTTTAAATAGACTTAAAAAGGAAAACTAAGACACAAAATTGGGAGAGATGATGCACCAAAACAGATGAGAGTATCTTTCTTAAGCACAAGAAACCAAAACAAATCTCATCTGTGGAGAAACAAATGTTGCACCAAAACAGGTCTCTTTGATGATGTCCAGCATCCTTTTACCATGTGAACTTTGTGATTTGCAAATCCTATCGAATGCAACACACAACTAACTTATGTCATCTCTTCCGAGCAACTAGCAGTTGTTTGTGCCAGTTATTCAATAGCAGAGTGTAGCAATTCATCCAGTCATCTTAATTACAAATGAAGATCTCTTCTTTTCATTTAATGCTTTGTGGAGATCCTTGATTTCAACTTAAATAAAAAACTAGAATTTGTTTCACTTGGAAATGCATTTGTTGCTGTTAATATGTAACTCTTTTCGATGTTGGCCTTACTAGATTTATCCTCAAATGGTTGGTGTCACCTCTACAAGAGTTGCACTTCCTCTTGAATGCACAGAGAGCTTGCCCATTTATGTGAATGCGAAACAATACAGTGCTATCCTCAAAAGGCGACAGGTCCGTGCCAAGCTAGAGGCTCAAAATAAGCTTGTCAAAGACAGAAAGGTACGTCCATCCAGTATAATACTCTTGCACTTGCTAACAATGAAATTGTGGTCTTATCCCATCTTTTGGATGACAGCCATATCTTCACGAGTCTCGACATCGTCACGCAATGAAGAGAGTTAGGGGTTCTGGAGGGCGCTTTTTGAACACAAAGAATATGCAGCAATCCAAGCCTTCATCTCCAAAGCACGATAGAAACATCTTTAAGCGACAGGCAGGTGGCAATTTATCTAGTTCCATGGTTCAGCACTCAGAGAGTGGTAGTTGGGGGACATCCACCCAATCTGGTTCTGATGTGACAAGTATCTTCAGTGGCGACAACATGTTCCAGCAACCAGAGTTTAGAGTCTCTGGCTTCCCTTTTCACATGCAGGAAGCTGAAGACTTCATGCATGTTGGAACCTGACAGCACACTTGTGTTATCCATGGTGGCTGTGCCAATACAGGCTGCATTACAAATGCATTCTTATTGGTGCACACAAATGGATAATCGGCAGTTCATCCTTGGCTATGTTACTCTTCCTTTTCCTGAATTGAAATCATTAACACTTTTTCCTAAAGCTTTGGTCGTGGTGTGGTATGGTTTATGGTTCATGGTTAATGAGAAAAAGAGCGCAGGTTGGTGCTGCATATCATCAACAAGGGCAAGGAAAAGAGAAAATATAGTGTTCTTAATCAGAAACAGTGGAGATTAAGGCTGTATTCTCCTTTTCTTGGTCGAGCGTGTATGTATCATCTTGCACTTCTAAATCTGTACTTGTTACTGTCATTTGCATTTGTGGTTTTCATTTTACTGTGCTATGTATTGTCTCATTGTTAATATGTTTAACTCAGGCTTTGTGCAACAAGATGAACTTATTGAATCATTTTCATGCTTAGTACATAAACTTCTGAAGTTAACTACACAGAATATGCTAGGCATTCCATAGAGAAAACATATACTTAAAAGATGACTAAATAATTTTTTTTGGATCTCACTTATTCTTCCCTTGTTTTCTACCCAAACTAGAATGCAATGATTAAATCACTGACCATCAAGTTTTCTAATGCATTTTGATACAAATTCTTCAACATTTTTATCAGATGTTCCACCTTCTTGAACAGCTTCCTTAGCCAAATCCTTCCATTTGAGTGCATTCTTCTTCATTTCTTTCCCTTCCTCTCCTTGTAACACTATCCTCACACATTCCTCAATTTCTTCTCTTCCAACAATCCCATTCTCATTAACTTTAACTCTCACCCCTACACTCCAAACATCTTGTACAAATTTTGCATTTGTTGTTTGATCAGTCCATTGTGGCATTACAACCATTGGCACTCCAAAAACCAATGCTTCAACGGTCGAATTCCATCCACCATGTGAGAAAAAACAACCAATTGCCTTATTAGATAACACTTGTAATTGTGGACTCCAATTTATTACTAATCCTTTCTCCGAATTTTCCTCAATGAATTTTTTGAGAATTTTCGATTCTTGGGAAGTTTTAACCACCCACAAGAAGTAGCTATTAGTTGCTTTTAATCCCTCAGCTATTTTTTCCATTTGTTTGTCATCAAAAGTAGACATGCTACCAAAAGCTGCATAAACAACTGATCCTTCTGGCTTAGTATTTAGCCAGTTGATACATGTTGAAGAATCCACATGGAATAGATTGAGACCATACTCAATGTCATTTTCAACTCTATTGTCCATATAGAACGATGGTAACGTTGGCCCTATGGTGGACAATGGGCTGATTTTTGACATTGTGTCTGCTACCTGCAATAAATATATTAATGAAAAATAAAAAATTAACTTATCTACAGAGATGATATTGATTTGTTTACATTGACTACTCCCTCCGTTACTATTTACTTGCCAAATTTTGATTTGGCACTCCTATAAAGAAAACAATATAGTGAGTTTACCAGTTGCCCCTATTAATTGATAGGTTCCAAACATATTTACTTAATATAGTGTTCAAAGATATTAACTCAATGATAATAATTTAGGGTATAAAAGGAAAAAAAATTGTCCTTCCTTGATTTGTCAAAAATAATAAGTAAAAAGAGAAATTAAATTAAAAAATATTTGACAATTAAATAGAGATTGAGGAAGTAGTATTAGTGTATTTTAGGTAATGTAAAGTCTCCAAAAGATCACATGTTGAGTTTAAGTGGGAGGCGAAATATTGGACTAGTTTAGGTATTTGGCTTACCAAATTTTATATTGTTATCATATAAAAAAGGAAAAATTATCTACATACACAATTTATTTTATTATATTTTTTAAAATTTTTTTATCATTTGAAAAAATTACAAAAAATCTTATTTTTTCCTATTTTTGGATACATTACTTTATGCAATGTATCAATCCGATACATCACTTTACACAATGTATCAGGACGTAGGTGATGTATTGAGATGTTGAGTGATGTATCCGAAATCAAGACGCGATATATTGAGATGTTGAGGGATGTATCTGAAACCGAGACATCATGTGTCAGAATGTTTTGGGATGTATCTAAAACCGAGACGTGATGTGTCAGGACATTTTGGGATATATCCGGATTTCACCAAATTTAAGAGATTTTTGTACTTTGGAAAATAATAGATATAAGATGTAATTAGCTTCTTAACAATATGAGATTTGTGTAAAATTTCTGCATCCACTAGGGGTGGAGCCAACCTTTTAATTACGAGTTCCGTAGAATCCATGTTAATTTTAACTCAAACTGTATATTTATGTTAAGAAAAAAAATAATTTACATAAATCTCATAGTGTGAAGAGCTAATTACATTATTTTTCTACTATTTTCAAAATTACAAAAATCTTTTAAAATTTATAGATTACGGATACATCACTGGACTTCTGCATACATCAACAGACGTCCGGATACATAGGGAAGGGATGTACCCGAGAGGGGAGGAATGTATTAGAGAGGGAATATGACATCCAGATACATAAGGGAGAGATGTATTCGAGAAGGGGATATGGGTGTATCAGCGAGAGGGGAGTAATGTATCCAAGAAGGGATTTTCGATTTTTTTTTAAATAATTGGAAAATTTTGAAATTATGGTAAAATAAGACGTACATTTAAGTAATTTTTCTTAAGAAAAAAAATCATCTAATAGGTATAAATCATGTATCAAAAACCTAGACAAAAATAATTATAATTCAAAACACATGAACTAATTAAAATCTGTCTCCTTTCTATAATACTGAAAATTTTCCTTTAAAAGGAGAAAAGGAGGGTGCATATTCAAGTGAATTGAATTATAAAAATCATCTAATAGGTATAAATCATGTATCAAAAACCTAGACAAAAATAATTATAATTCAAAACACATGAACTAATTAAAATCTGTCTCCTTTCTATAATACTGAAAATTTTCCTTTAAAAGGAGGGTGCATATTCAAGTGAATTGAATTATGCTAAAATTCATTAAATAGACAAAAAAAAAAAAAAAAAACCTTATAAAGAGCTCTAGTTGCTAGGGGATTACCCATAAATAGTAAGTTTGTAACTAACCTCAGCTTCCAACTTGTAGAATGAGTTCACAAATACATAATCAGCTTTGTCCACATTTGTAAATTGATTCAACACCATTTCAAAATAGGCTGGATACATTCCATGTACGTAAAAAAAAGAAGGCATATCTCGGAGTTCGAGCTCTGGTAATCCCGATATCTTCACCGGAGTCGAAGATATCGGTAACGTTAATTTACCATGATGAACATAATAGTAAATATAGTTCACCGCACATGCTTGAGTAAAAAAACAAGCCCCAATTAAACCATGTTTTTTAGCTACGTCTAAAGCCCATGGCACGAACGCATCATACATGATGCAAGTAATAGGAAACTCCGATTTTTCATATTTCTTGATAAGATCCGCTAGGGATTTCGAGCCGATTTGCTCGAAACGTTCGAGGTAGGCGGCTACGCTATCAGCATCAGCGTAGCCACCTTTATCGAACCCATCAGAAACGGTGTCTATACCGACAATACCCGGATTTGGATGTGTTGAATTAGAAATGAAGTTTGTGATGGCTAAAGTGGTTTTTAGACCTTTGGAGACTAAACGTTTACAAAATTGAAGCATAGGGTTTATATGGCCTTGGCTTGGATAAGGAAGAGCCAAAATATGACCTCCATACTTTTTGTTTTTTGTTACCTCCATACTTTCTTCTTTGTTTCTCTTTGTGTTGATTAAGTTTTTCCTTTACTTGTCACTTGATCGAGGAAACGATATATATAGAATAAAAGAACTAAGGATAAATAAAGATTATTCCCCACCTTATTTTTGTCACATAGTTGGTCCCTCCATCTCATTTTTTATATATGGCACTCCCTGTCTCAACTAATGTGACATTTTTCAGATTTTGAGATTTAAACAGGTTTATTTTTACCGTAAATTTTTCATATATCTTTTAATTATTTTGAATTGCTAATTATTGTGACTTATCATAGTTTACAAACATATAAATTTCATTTTAAAAAAATTAAAGATTCCGCGCGTAAATTTTCAGTCAAACTTAAACTGTTTAACTCTCGAAAAATGAAAAGTGTCACATAAATTGGAACATGGGAAGTATAAATTATGAGAGTCAAAATTTTAAATGTTTATTATGAATTCAAATATAATTTTTAAATATAAAAGTTATATATATCAAAACTATGGAAACATTTTTGAACTTGGCTTAAATTATTAGTTTAATCCTCAAACTATTGACAGTCTTAAAAATATCTCTCTATTTGACTAATTAAATTAATTAGATACACCTCTGATCTAGCACATGACATAGCACGTAGTCTTAAACTCTTGTAGCACTAATAAAAAATGATCTTTAGCGACAATTAATTAACGATAATCACTCAATTGTCGTTAAATATGTATTTTTAGCGGCAATTAACACTCTTTGTATATGTCCCTAAAGCCTTTAGCGACATTGAATCTAATGACACTTAGCTAATGCCGGTAAAGACTTTAGCACTCTTTATTAATGTGTCTATTTATTGTCATCTAAAAGTTGTTTTTGTTGTAGTGTAGGAGCATCATGAGACTCTTAATTAAAAATCGAGAGAAGTGTTGAAAATATCTCTAAACTTGGCGAACATTTAGAGGTGTGTTTCACTTATGTTAAAAGATCGGGGATATATTTAAGTCTAGCTAGTCAAGTAAATGATGTTTTTAAAATTGTCAATAGTTTGATGATGAAACTAATAATTACATGGAGTTTAGAGATGTTTTCAATACTTCTCTATTATTTTATTATAAGTCATAATAATTACTCTCTTCGTTTAAAAAATAATGAACTACTTTTGTTTGATATGTTTTTTTTTTTATAAAATAAATGACCACTTTTTTTGGCAACTTTAATATCAGTTTTCTACGTGTCATGTTTAAGACTACAAGATTCAAGTATATTTTTTTTTTGTATATTTGTCATAAGGCCAAACACATAAACATGTCCCTAAACTTGTTGGGTTTTTCCCCTTAGTGAGGTCAAACCAAGGATCTATGGAAGTGGGGGCTCGTCCCTCAACTACGCCATTTTCCTATTGAATCCTTGAACCACCCATAATTTGTTCCTTTTAAACACTGTGGGCTGATGTGGCACAAAATGTGATCTCACGTCGCTTGAGCGCGTGAAGACGTTTTGAAGGCGCTGATGTGGATCCCTGAACCACCCACCAACGCTCTTCTTCCCCTTTTAACCCTAATTTTTCCCCTTTTTCTCTTATTTCTCCTCTTTTCTTTCTCTTCATCATTAAGTTGGAGTTGCCCATCAGAATATATCTCTTCTTCATTGATTTCTTCTTAATCATCCAGTTCCAATGTTGAAGTTATCTTGTTCATCGATATCTTCTTCTTCTTCAAGTCAGAAGTGTTTTGGGGGAAAATGAAGGGGCTTTAGGTTTGGGAAATGATTATGTGGCGCTGACGTGTAAATGGATTGAAGTTTGATTGGTTGCAATTTCCACGTGGAAAAGGTGGATCTCACGTGCACAATCAACAAAAAATATTTGCGAAAGTTTTGTGCCACAAAGCCCACAGTGTTTAAAAGGAACAAATTATGGGTGGTTCAAGAATTCAATAGGAAAATGACGTAGTTGAGGTACCTGAGGGGCAAACATCAACAAGTTTAGGGATCTGTTTATGTTTTTGGCCTTGTCATAACTTTAATTTCGCACCATAAAATTATTTTTTTTCTTTATTTTCTTAAACATCATGTCAAATTAAACTAAATCATTCTTTTTTTAAAGAGAGAAAATTATAACTTATATAAAAGAAAAATATATAAAAAGATTGAGATAGAAAATTTGATTCTCAAAATTGAAAAAAATGTAAAGAACGTAATTAGTCGATAAATGTTTTTAAACAACTTTTTTAGGATGATAATGTTGACCACAAATCTGGGGGAATGTCGTGTATAATTTTGTTTGCGCATAACGACGAAAAGTTACTTGGTCTACACGGTTTATAATAAAAAAACAATGAACTCCATTGAGAATGGTGCAATAATAAAGCGATACTTTAAAAAAAAAATCATTTCATGAAGTGTTTATTCTAACCACCTCTCAATTTAAGTAATTTTTTTTAAAAGTATATGCCAAAAATAATGTTTTCTTAAATTTAATTTTTTGTTTTACTTTTTTTCAAAGTCCATTTCAGAAAATTATCTATTTTTCTTTATAACAACTCTTTAATTCTAAAATTTCTTCATGACGTATTTAAAATAACAAGATTCAAAAAAAATTTCATTACCTTTATTAAACTCAATTCAAAATCAAACAAGTTGTTGGGTTATGCCAACATCCTGCCTATGACAAGGCTCACGATGGGCTAGAGTAGCTCGAGTCGAAGTTATGATTGGACATGACGCTTTGGTGGACTTAACCAAGAAATAAAGTTACGCATTTGCTATCAGCTATAACTTTTGACATGATGGTATACGCTTGATCCTAACACAAACAAATTAAAATAGAAAAAATAATATTTTTTATATTTACTAAAAATACAACTTTAAATTTAACATTTTACCATAAATGAGAATTTATTTCCAAGAAATATCTATACAATTTGTAACCACATATTTCAAAAAATTTCATTTCATTCTTAAAACTTCATACATAATTGGAGGCATAATAGTTTGACATGAAGATCTTAGTTTCATTAATGACTGTATTACAAACCTAGGGGTAGATCTAGAATATGTCATCTGTGAGTAACCTTAATGAACCTAGCTAGTAGTTTTTATTTAGATATATACCTAGTTGGTTGATCTTATCCTACAAAGATCGTAAATTTTTTATATAATTAAATTATAATTTAAAAATATTAATATAAATATCGATAAGACAATATTACATGGTGTTAGATTACTATTTGTTATACAAATCCACAAATAAAGTAATATTTATAATATTTATTAAGTTTAACTTCGAGTAAAAATATAACTAGCTAAATAGAAATATAAATAATTTTTTTTCAATAAAACACAAAAAATATGACAATATTTCAACCAGTGAAACATGAACTCTTGAAAAAAAATTCATGAAACTTATGACGTATATGTGCTAGGATCGTTAGGCCGACCTGACCTAACTTGTGATTTAATAGGATAAGACTTAGATTTTTGAATCTCATTTAAGAAAGAGTTTTTTAGCCCGGACAGGGGGTTAAATAGAAAAATAGTTAAAAATAAAAATAAAATAGAGTATTAAAATTAACATAAGTTCAAACTCAAAGTCTATTTAAATTTCTAAATATTAAAATTTAGAATATCAAACGTGATGTATTTAGTATTTCTATTACTATTGTATCATTAGAATAATCATTCAGCATTGGTAGACGTATGTTCTAACCAAGTATAGAAATTGCATCCATCATGAAAATATTCAAACACTTGTTGTTACTCGATACTGATTGCATGATTTTTCTTAAGCTGTTATTATTTTTGTGTGTACATTAAATATTATACGTAGTTCTTAAATTTAATTATTTTTATAGTTTAACTAATTAATATTGCATACAAACTGTAAATGAAAATGTTAAAGACAACCTTGCCTCAACCTTATTCATATGTGCTTGATGAAACTGATGTGTTGGTGTTGTATATGCCATAATTTCATGATTTTTTTTCAAAAGTTCATGTTTCACTGGTTGAAATATTGTCATATTTATTTGTTATTTTTTGAAAAAAATAGGTCAACATTTCTATTTAGCTAATTATATTTTTACTTGAAATCAAACTTAATAAGTATTATAAATATTATTTTATTTGTGGATTTGTATAACAAGTAGTAACACTAACACATGTAATATTGTTTTATTGATATTTATGTTAATATTTTTAAATTATAATTTTAAAAAAAGGAGAAATTGTATAAAATAGAAAACTATTAATTCAAATTAAATGTTATAACCACAGTTTGATTTAATTGTAACCCGTAGCAAACAATTGTCATTCGCCTCTCTCCCCAGATTTCTCGCTCGCCACTCTCCATTTCTCGCTCGCTAGTCTCTCCCTCGCCTCTCTCACTTTATACGAACACAGATGTATAAAATGCGTTTGTGTTTGTATAAAACGAGAGAAAACTGTATATACAAATATAAATACATATATTTTCGTCGTTTACACTTATAATTATACAAATACAGATCTTCCCCTGCCGAGTTCTCTTTTCTCTTTCTCTCTTTCTCGCTTTATACAAACACAGATTGTACAAATTACAATGTATAATTTGTGTTGTATAAAGCGATATATATATATATATATATATATATATATATATATTATTATTTTTTTTTTTTTTTTTTGATATACAAATGTTTTATTTCAATTGAAGTGTATACAAATTCAAATTTTATGCAGATATACAAACACATAAAATTGAATTGAGAGATTGCCATCGAATTATACAAACGAGAGGCTACCAACGATTTATACAAATGAGAGGCTGCCAACGATTTATACAAATCTAATGCTCCATAGCAAACTTTAACATAAAGTTTGCTATGGAGCGCAATTATACAAACTTTAACTATAACATACAAATATGACTTTTATATTTGCTAAACCTAAAATTTACTCCTTAAAAAATATAAAATAATATACTTTTAAAAATGTGGGCTGACCCGACAAGGGCCACAACCCACATACTGATGGGTTGGGATGGTTTCTAGCTCACCAAATTAGTGGATCAGCTCGGCCTGACCCGTCAAATTCCAAAACTTGTATGGGCTAATCCGGATGAGATGGGTCAGTCAATATTGACAACTATAATTTCAATGTCTTGTCCTTTTATTTATGGTTTGAATTTTAACTAATAAAATAAAATAAAAATATTTCTTAAGAAAATATACAAAATTCATTACGCTATTTAGATAATACTACTACTTATTATTATAAATTTTAAGCTCTAAAAAGATATTATCAAACACAATCCGTTTATCAAATAATAAAAGAAACATTTTAAAAAAATGAATTTAATCAAGTACAAACCTTTTCTTTTCAGTTATTAATTACTTTTCTACTAGTTATTTATTTAGATAAAATACACTTATCTTGATAAACAATTTTATAAGTTTATCCAAACATGTTATACTATGGAGATATCAATATTTTTGTCCTTGACTAGTAGCTTCTTCTCAATGCACACATAAGTCAAGCTTCATTTCTCTTTGTTTTGCAAGCAATAACAAGGAAACGTCATATTTTAATATAAAAAGATTAAAATCTTCTATGATTGACCTTAACTAATTATTAATAAATTAGAAGTTATCGGACAACTTTTAAATATATTTTCCAGGAATTAATCTCCAATCTGACAAATTGTTGGACATTAAGAACTTCCAATCGTTAATTTGAGCCAAATGAGGTTTTAAATTATTTTGGTTGGATGTCAAATCATTTCCTTATCAAAATTGAAGACTAAATTTACAAAATTCCTATGGTTAAAGTTAGTCATTTACTCACCAAAATTGGAGACCAAATTTACAAATATGTCCCTAACTATGGTTAAAGTTAATCATTTCCTTACCAAAATTGAAAACTAATCAAAATCCATCCCTAAACTAAAGTTAAAGTTAATTATTTTTTATCATAAAAAAATCCATATAGGGCGTATTTGATCCAAGCGCAAAGTTAAGAGTTATATTTGATCTTTCTTAAGTGTGATTTTTTTTGTGACTTTTTTGATTCTTGACCAATTCAAGGTGAAAAATGAGGTTGCTCCCTCGGTGAGTTAAAGTTGAGCAGATACTTTAGGTCTTAAATATCTCTATTATAGCTTTTTGATTATTATTTTCTGAGTTTCTCATTCTTATATCATTTTTTTTTTTTTAATGTAAAATATGAGAAATAAAAAATAAGTGTGAATGGAATAAAAGGAAAAAAGTAAGAAAAAAAAATTAAAATTAAATTTTCTTGGGTTCATATTGTAATTTATTTTTGTATCTGTGAAAAAAAATCAAGGCATCTACATTAGTTTTTACAAGAAGAAAAGTAAAATTTTTTTTTGATAGTTAAGATAATAAATTCAAATTAGCTGTTGAATTAAAGAAGAAAAAAAGATCATGTATATCATTGAATTTTGCGAGAAAGGTCAACTATACTCCTACATAAATTTTATTTTAATGAAGAAATTAAGACTAATTTTTCACTTCCATCCATTTAAAATTGATATATTTGAGTCAATTACATCACATAAAAATATACGTGAGCCATTCTTTTAACAAGTGGTATATGAACTCTAAAATAACCAAGTTAAAAGAAATTTAATACCTTTTCCAAAAATTAAATAAAGCAAATGTGAGTCAACTAATGGTCCCTTCCTTGGTTGTTTACCTTCAACTTCCTCTCTCTTTCTGTGAAAGTAGACAAGACTTGTTCAAAGTCTTCATTTTTCTTGTTATCTCAATAAGTTAAATACATCATTTTTCTTGTTATCTCTCAACGTTGACTTAGCTCCAAAGGAGCCTCCAACTAATTAAAACTATAGTATATCTCATTTGCAAGGTTGTACTTGTAGGCGACAAAGCCAAATATTGGAAGAAAGAAATTAAGAGTGAAATTGAGGGAGATGGAAATTGAGAAGAGACTCTACGAAGCTGCAGCGGAAGGAGATGTAATTACTTTACAAGAATTACTTCAACTGGATGGTTTGATTCTTGATAGACTTACCTTAACTTGCTTTAATGAAACTCCTTTACACATAGCATCAATGCGGGGACACATTGAGTTTGTGAAGTTCATTCTGGCACGAAATCCCCTGCTTGCTGCTGAACTGGATTTACGAAGATCCTCTGCACTTCATGTTGCTTCGATCAAAGGGTACGTAGAAATTGTTAAGGAGTTGTTGATAGTGAATCCTGAAATGTGTCTGGCTCGTGATCGTGAAGGTAGAAATCCTCTACATCTTGCGGTAATCAAAGGTCGAGTTGAGGTTATTAAGGAACTGGTTCAAGCAAACCATCTTGCAGCTCTGCAGACGACTGATCGCAGTGAAAACGTTCTACATTTGTGTGTGAAGCATAACAATCAGTTGGAGGCTCTGAATCTGTTGATGGAAGTGATATCAGATGATAAGCTCTTGAATGCAAGAGATGGAGATGGATATACAATTCTACATTTGGCTGTTGCTGATAAGCAAACTGAGGTGAGTTCTTGCCCTTTGCTGTACAAACTTACTAATTAATCTAGTATTCCATCACAAAAGTTGAGAAAGAAGAAAATGGATACGGGCAGATGGGTCAAATTTGATGAAACCCACCCAAGTTTACTCGGATAAGCTTACTTTTGGTTTAGAGGTCAAAAATCTTATACTTTAACATATAACTTTTGACTTATTTTTGTTTTTTTGGCTTAAAGATAAAAGCTTTAAAACACTTTTTTATTTTATCTAAACACAATGTAAGTGTTAAAAACTATTTTAGCTTAAAAACGCTCTTAGACTCAAGATGGCTTGAAAATTCAAGTCATAATTCAAACCTTTCAAAAATGACTATACTAGAACCTATTCAGACTGACTTATAGATTTTTGACTTATTTTTATCATTTTAACTTAAAATTGAGTAATTGTAACCACTTTTTAATTTATCCAAACACTTCAAAAATGCTTTAAAACTATTTTGACTTTAAAAATACTTAAAAGCTATTTTGACTTTAAAATACTTAAAATAAGCCCATTAAAACGGGCTTTAAGCCCTCCTCTGTTATTTGCTTCTTAAGAAAACAAGAATGAATGATAATGTATTTTCTTAATTTATTAGTAGGGGTGTACAAAATCGAATCGAAAATCGAACCAAATCGCAAATCGAGTCAACCCGAAAAAAAATTCCGACTAGTGGTTTGGTTTGATATTGGGGAAAAAAATCAGACTATATTTGGGTTGGTTTGGTTTTAACTAAAAAAAACCAACTCGAGACCAAACCAACCAACATTATATATGTAATTTTAAAATTTTATTTTATACATAAAAATATTTACTTTGATATAATTTTAAAATATTTCTTATACTATTTCATAGTTTTTATCTTTTAATTTATTATTTCAAATTTAAAACTTAGAATTCGAATGGTCCAATAAAGATTATAGTTCATAGATGTTGATAATTATAATAAAACTTAAATCAAAATCAATTAATACTAACGCAAAAAGAAAATCAATTCAACACTAAGAATGACAATAATATTGAATATTTGTTCAGTTTTACATTGGTTTAGACAATTAAAATACATAATCTAATTTTAATTTTCCTTAAATATTTAGTAATGTAACTAGTACTTATTAAACTTATTTTAGCATGATTTAGTACTTTTAAATTATGATAATTTTCATTATGACTTTGCAATATTTATTTTATATGATGATTTCATTATTATTTTTTATTGAATATTTTTGTGTCATCAGTACTAATCTCATATTTTGTGTTATTTTTTTAAGAAACATCTTAGATAATTGTATTTTGGTTGGACTAAAGAAATATTTGGAGCACAAGTTAATTATATGTTTGTATGCAAACTTTATGGAAAAAATCCAAAAATCTGAAAAAATCCAAGGTTTATTAGTTTGGTTTGATTTATAAATATAAAAATTCGACACAATGGTTTGATTTGGTATTTGAAAAATCCGAACCAACCCGAGGTCGAAAACCCCGAAAGAATCCGAATTTTATTACTTTGGTTTGGTTTATAAATTTAAAATTTTTATACAAATAATTTGGTTTGATATTTGAAAAACCCGAACCAACCCGGTCACGTACACCCCTAATTATTAGCTTGAGTTCATATAATTTACGCTATTTTGACTCAATGACTTGATGGGTCATAACGGGTTGAACTTGTTAGATCAAGTCAATAAACAAGTTATAACCCATCCACTCTAAAGTCATAATCCATCCCCTCTAAACTTAGAGATGTTACTTGAAAATGGAGTTAATGTTTCATGTTAAAATTTGCAGACAGTTAAATATCTGTTAAAAAACAATAAGATTGAGGTCAACTTAAAGGACGACAATGGGAACACAACACTAGACATTTTAACACAAAGTCGAAGAGACGTGAATGATCTGGAAATTGGAGACTGTCTCCGTGATGCTGGAGGTTTAAGAACCAAGGACATGATTTCATCATCCTACACCCAAAATGTAGCCAAATGTTCTAATTCTCAAGTTGCTTTAGTCCACAAGCACGACATTTCAGGTGATTGGCTTTCGAGGAAACGTGATGCAATAATGGTAGTGGCATCGCTTATTGCAACTATGGCGTTTCAAGCAGGAATGAACCCTCCAGGAGGCGTCTGGCAAGACAATAAGGAAGTGTTAAATTTTCAAGTAAACTCCCTACAAATACCACACAAAGCAGGGGAAGCAATAATGGCGTATAGTCATCCCAAAGCATATCGATACTTTATCCGTGTCAACACAACAGCCTTTGTGACTTCTCTTAGCACAATACTGCTGCTAATAAGTGGATTGCCCTTCAGGAAAAAGTTTTTTATGTGGGCTTTAATGGTTATTATGTGGTTGACAATAACCTCAATAGCACTTACTTATGGCATATCAATATACATTGTCACGCCTAAAAAGGACCGAGAACAACTTGGCCAGGTTATTGAAGTTGCTGTTACAGTATGGAGCTCTGTAATGGCATTACTTTTGCTTGGAAACACAATTCGTTTGGTCTATAAATGGATGATGAGAAAGAAGCAACAATCAAGAACATCCGAGACTAGAAAATCTGCAAATTTTGTTCATGTCAATGTTTGAGGATATTGCATTTACTCTATGATGAAGTAATTTTAACTAGCTAGCCTATGTATTTTGGTAAGACCAAAGCTACACAAATCAGTCTATATGATTTTTGATCTTACCATTTCAGAAAGCTTTCTATTTTTATTTATTTATAAATAAGATCAACCACAATCTTCTCTTGCTTAATTGCAAGCACAAAATAGGGCCCTGTTCACAAACCATAAGCGCACAAAAAGAATTGATACAAGATGAATTTGTTAAGAAGTCGTTTAGATTTTAAAACAGAAGAAGTGGACTCTATATGATAAAGCAGAAAATTGTACCGCACTTGCTTTAACCAAGATATAGCACATGTACTAACAAATTTAGTGGATCCTTCAAACATAATAAAAATATGGTAAAATCTAGTGGTTTAGCTTTGATCAATTGGCTTAATTCACTTTAAAGAGTAATTTTGCAATTTTTAGCTTTTGATTGCATATGTTGATTCAAAGATGGGGTGATTATATAGTGGAAATACGGAAGCTTCTGGAATGAAATAGAACACGTTTCTGCTTAGACGTTATCCGTATTCTACACTCTTCTAGAACATGGTTCAAATTGCTAGCAAGTATGGTGAAAAAAATTCTCCTTAGAAAATAAATAATTACTTCATCTTTTCTTTTAGATTGTTGTTTTCACTATTGTCTTTGTCCAAGTTCTTATTATGACATGTTTTAAATGAAAAAATGATCAAAATAATCCTTAATATATGAGTTAAATTAATTTGATCCCTCATATAAGGTAGCTTATGGAAATGGTTGGTCCTTTATCTATTTAAATAACAAATATATTTGTTTTAACTCCCAAAAGATTCCGAACGAGAACGATAAATAAACGATGCACCTACCTATTGACAGATCCATTCAATTGAATTTGCCAGACTTCTAAATTACATGGCCACGCTTACAAAAATATTTTTTTCATTCCAACCTTAAAGAAAAAATAACCCATATCCTTGACAACAGTCTTGATTTTTATTTTTTTTACCTCTTCTAGATTTCTGATTTACTGAATTGAACACAAATACCAACAATTGCAAATTTCATTTCTCGTAAATAGTAGTAGTACATTATTATATCTCATATAAAAGTATTCATCATAAAAAATGATAGCGCATTAAAACAAAGTCTATACAACAATTTCATTTATAAAGAGTTCAGAATTCATGAATGCATTTGGCTCGCTCCAGAGTAAGATTTACGGGGAAGCATTTTTTATTCTTTCGACTATTTTCTAGCAACAAAATATTATTATTTCTTAGTAAAATACGTTTGGAGAGGATTTAGATAGTAATACAATACACTAAACAAATACTTTCTCCATTTCTTTTTATATGTCAAACTTTTTAATTTGAATTTGCATTAAGAAATTAAATAACTTTACCCGTCTATCCTTATTTTATATTTTCTTTAAATTAATTTTATAATAAATGATGAATATGTTAGATTTCAAAAATTAAAATGCATTTGAATTTGAATGACTATTTAAATTTTGAGTTTACTTTTGGAGACAAATTTTTTCACCAATTGATCCAAAAAATTAAATTTTTTCCACCTCAATTTTTCTATATATTTTGTGTAAAAATGTTTTAGTTTGTTTGTTGATATATTTTTTTCAAAATCAAATATAAAGAATAGTAAATGGGAAAAGAATTGCTTATAGATTTCCTAGGTTAATCTAAATCCAAATATATGTTTTCAAGATTAATTAACTACTCTATCAATGATTCAATGATATCATGGAAAGAAAATAATAATTTATGTATTAATTTAATAGAATGACAAGTATAGAAAATGATAGATATGAAAAGGAATCAAGGGTGTATACTATTTTATAAATCAGGTGAAATGATAATGGCTATGCTATAACTTCCAAGTAAGGAAATGAGACAAAAAAAAGTACTGAAAATTCAATTCAGTATCAAACAAGATACACGCACGCACTAACAATTTTTGGTTAATCCTTCACACTTTGGATGCATCAAAATATGGAGCAGCAATCACTTTATTAAATCCATGTTTAAACCATCAAAACAGAGAAGCTCCATTCATAAAACAGATGGAGTCCATAACTTGAAGCAACTTTCACCTCAATTGTTTTTGGTTTCTGAGCAGTAACAGTCAGAACTCCGAGCAGAAGTATTAGCATTCTCCGGCAGACTCATGAATTTCCCAACCCTTCTCTCCATCCTAATAAACTTTACCCTCTTCCTTTCTCCGCTAATCAACAGCACATTCATTGTCTTCTTCCACCTGCACTTTGATATCTCCAGATTATTTCAACCACAACGAAAACATACGAATTAGGATACTCTTTGACGTCCACTGGTGTGGCAGCCATGGATGGCTTTATGTTAAGAATAGTAGTGAGCAAAAATAGTTAGTTCAATATTCAAAATAGGAAGTGTATAAGTTATATAACTAACTAAGTTCAAGAGGGTGTGTGTGTGTATATATATATATATGATCATACTTGTACTCAATTTAATAAATCAATAAGAGAGAATTGTGAGAGAACTTCTAACTCTCATAAATCAGTTTCTTCTATATCAGATTGATTCTTCTTCTTCTTCTACTGATTCTCTAGTCCTAATATTCATAAACTACACGAACATAGTTCCTTAATGGTGCATTGTCGGAATCTTCCATCATCTGCTGAAGAGTGGTGTGTTATCGATACCCATCAACCTCAAATCCATTCTTCACTTCTTGGATGTTGTGATTTCGTGTTTGAAATTAGACTTCCATTCTCATTACAGGAGATGTTGAGAGGTAGATATATAATATAACACAAGTGTGGAAATTTCTAGAGGAAAATAGAAGAAGAAGAAGGAAAGTTTCGAGGAGCTCATCACCTTGTTTCTATACTTGTCTAGAACCTTCCCGACTGTTAGTTAATCCCTTCTTTTCCTCTATACACGAGTTTTTTTATATTTATCCATTTTGGTCTTTTAAATATGGGAAAATGCATAAGTATTCCCAGCCTGTACTCGAAATCTCAGAGACACACCTAACCTTTACTAATGTCCTATTACCCCCCCGAACTTAATTTATCTATAATATTCTACCTCTTTTTGGCCTACGTGGCACTATCCTTGAAAAATTGGTCAACATGCGCTGGGCCCACAAGATAGTGTCACGTAGGCCAAAAAGGGGTAGAATATTACATATAAAATAAGTTCAGGGGGGTAATAGGATCTTAGTACAGGTTAGGTGTGTCTCTGGGATTTCGGGCATAGACTAGGGGGTACCTATGCATTTTCCCTTTAAATATTAAAAACTTATCCAATTTTGTTTCTGTTTATTTTTTAAGTCTATATTAATGAAATTTGTAACTTATGTTTTCAATTTTTTTTCTCTCTCTCTAATTTTTTCTTCAAATTACTCTGAAGTAAAGAATTGTGACCTCAAGTATTCAAACTAAAATTAATAAAGAAATGAGATATAAATTTTAATTTTATATAATTGACGATAAAATGAAGCACATTATTGTTGTTAATGACTTGACTATGCTACATTTTCTTTTTTAGCGATTAACGATTCATAATCAATGTGAATTTTTATAATTTTATTTTGCATACAAATATAATAAGAGATGTGATGTTATTACTCAAATTTTTCTGCATAAAATAAAACGAACTAAATAACAAAATTGATCTATTTCAAAATGAAAAAAACGAAAAAAAAGAGTTGTGAATCTATTATTTTGTAAATTTCCAATTCTTCTTTTATTCATGCTCATCCTAATCTCCGTCGAGATTACTAACTTCTAAAATTTTAACAAATTCCCTTTAATAAAGTCGTGTGAGTACAAAATTTGAAATGAAAAAATATGTGAGCAAGAACTTTTAATTTTATTCTTATGGCAAGAAATTTGTTTCCATTTAATATAAATACATCTCTCCCCATACATAACAAGTTCTAACTTTTTTTAATAATAAATTTAAATATATTCAAGTCTAACAGTAATATACTTCATTTACCCTTCATTGAATAAAATTAAGATTTATATATTCTTTCCTCGTTAATTCTATTTTGAATCGATGAGGTTAAGGTTCTTTTCATAAGAATAATTTGAAGAAAAAGTAATAGAGTGAGAAAAAAAAAACAACTCAAAAAATGGGTTAAAGTTTTAATTTCACAGGGGCATGCATTTCATCAATATAACATAAGTTATTTATATATAAAAAAAAGTAGACAAAATCAAACCTTATAAGTTTTTTGAATACTTAAAGGACTAAAAGTTATAAATATATAATTAAGAGACTATTTTATTTCTACTCAAATAGTTTTGGAGCCATTTATGGCGTTCTCTCAGAAAAATTACTTAGTGGTTTGTTTGAAATTTATTTTTTTATTTAGATATAATTAAATAGAAATAATTATACTAAATATCTTTATCTTTATAATGTGATATGTTATGAGGGTGTTTGAATTAATTTATTTTAAGTACCTTTTAATTTTTAAGCTCTTTTTTAATTTTTGGAAGTATTTAAAAAGGACAAAAAGTGTTTTTAAGCTTTTTATTCTAAAAAAATATTCAAAATAATCTAAAAATCAAATGTTGGATATGGCTTTTAGCTTTTAGGTTATAAGTTACTTAAAAATGCAAATTCAATCACCATCATAATTTTGAATATACTTTTTTATATTTTAAAATCATATAATTTTGTGATTTATAATGAAACTTAGAGTCTGCTTCACATTGCTGTTGGAAGGCCAGAATCACTTATTTTGAGAAAAATAATATTTTTGTTAAAAAAATAAATATTTGGTAAATCAGTAAAAGTGTTTTTAAAGAAAGCAAAAGCAGTTTTTCTATTGTTAAGAAGAAGCTTAAAAGTTTTGCGTCTTAAAAAAAAGAAGGGAAAATGGATAAGTACCTCCCCAGCATATGCCCAAAATCCATGAGACACACCTAACCTTTACTAATGTCCTATTACCCCCCGAACTTATTTTATATAGAATTTTCTACCCCTTTTCGGCCTATGTGGCACTATCCTTGAAAAAATTGTCAACACGCATTGGGACCACAAGATAGTGCCACGTAGGCTGAAAAGGAGCAGAAAATTATATATAAAATAAGTTCGGGGAGGTAATAGGACCTTAGTAAAGTTTAGATGT